TCTTTGAAAAACCTAGTATTTGTAATTTCTTCCTGTCCCTTTGGTACGTACGCAAATCTTTTGAAAGGCTAAATAAACTAGCTCTAGCCATTGGTAAAACGCAGGATTTTCTTTTTCTGAAGGGCCTAGGAGCCATGACTTTTAAACAAACATCAAGGAAGACAGCACCCTAACTCCCTGTCGCCCTGGGAGGTTAGCCCAGCACCACAACTACCAACTACCTGCTCATAGAGATTAGAGATATTCTATTTTTCTTTCAGATAAAGGCAATTAACTAGCACAGATGGCCACCCCAATTACCAGGTGAATTTAGGGTGAACTATGAAAGCACATATAGCAGAGGGTGCTGTCAAGTCTTCTTACAAAGAGAACAAATTACCATGAATCTGGAGACTATGTATGTAATGGATTGCAAATGGTGAGATTTCTTTTTTGTTTTTGTAACCTCATTAGCACATTGCCTGTAATGCATCCCAGCTTGGGTTAATGTTTATTCAATAATAGGACTATTTTCTGTGTTTCAACATTTATAGAAACCATTTCCTAGGTTGGCAGGAGGTTTTATTTTTAACTTTCCCCCCACATAAATGTGGAGAACATTCTACACTTTCTACTGGGCCATCATCTCCTGCCACTTTTTTGCCATGATGGCTCCCTCAATAACAGGAAAAATGTTCCTCCCTGACAAGAGATTTTTAGACTTAGCCCATTCTTGTCTGAGTGTCAGATCCTTCTATACGAAGTGTGATTAAAAAAAAAAAAAAAAGGTGAATGTTTAAATTTAAAAAATGTATTACAGTAAAAGACACATTGCCATTAATCCCCCTCAAAATACACTCCCTGCTTCAAACACACTTATCCCATCGTTCTTGCCACTTTCTGAAGGAGTTCTGGAAGTCCTCTTTTATGAGCGTCCTTAGTTGTGCTGTTGTCGTTGCCTCAATGTCTTAAATTGATTCAAAACGTTTACTTTTCATGGTCATTTTGACTTTGGGGAAGAGCCAGAAGTCGCACAGTGCCAGATCCAGTAAATAAGGTGGATGAGGACACACTGTAATGTTTTTATTTGACAGAAATTGCCATACCAGAAGCGATGTGTGACATGGAGCCTTTCCATTGAGATCACAAAATATGGTGGATGCTGCTGCCAAGTGCCATCCAATGGAAAGGCAGGAATCTTCAATACGGGAAGCGGCGCATCAAACCTTAGTAACAGTGTGTGACAAGCTTCAACTTGTTCGGTGCAGTCATTTGGGTGTGAGCTACTGTTGAGAGAAGGTATGTTTTAAAGTGTGCCATAAATCATCTTCCATCATGACAACGCTCCGTGTCACACATCGCTTCTGGTATAGCAGTTTCTGTCAAATAAAAATATTAGGTGCCCTCATCCACCTTATTCACTGGATCTGGCACTATGCGACTTCTGGCTCTTCCCCAAAGTCAAAATGATTCAGGACATCAAGGCAGCCACAACAGTGCAACTAAAGACATTCACGAAAGAGGACTTCCAGAAATACCTCAGAAAGTGGCAAGAATGATGGAATAAGTGTGTTTGAAGTGTGTGTGTATGTGTGTGTGTGTGTGTGGGGGTACTTTGAGGAGGATTAATGGCAATGTGTCTTTTACCGTAATGCTTTTTTTTTTTTAATTTAAACATTCACCATATATTTTGATCACACCTCGTATCACTGCCTTTGTGACATCTCTTCTTGGATTATTTCAAAGACATTTTATTCAAAACTAAACTCATGCTCTTCCTCCAAGGTTTCCAGAAAAGGAAGAAATAGCCCTGACACTTCCCTCTTCCTTTTCAATCCAGAGTAAACCTGTTACCAAGACCCGTTGATCCTACCTCCTAAACAGCCCTCAAATATATCAACTTCTGGTTCTACTGAGGAGTCAGAATAAATTGTTATAAACACAAACCTGCTAGTGCTACTCCCCTGACTGAAAAATCAATGATTTCCCACAATTCTTAGGATTACTCCCAAATCCTTGGCATGACCTATGAGGCCTGCATGGTCTAACTCCTGCCTTCCTCTCCAACTTCATCTCTCTGACTTTCTACCTCCCTCTCTGTCCTCCAGCCCCAAATGGGAGCTTAAGCTCCATAAAGACAGAGATCATGTCTTTTTGCTGATGTTATATTCCTGAAACAGTGTGTAACACCTAGTAGATGCTGAATAAATATATGTTGAAGAATAATGTTGATAAAAAAATTGTAGCATCTTAAATGGAAGGCAAATAAAACATTAGCTAAATTATGCACAGTACAAGTAAAGAGTGTCTTTATACATGTTTGTATCCTAGGTGGCTAACAGGGGCTTGGACCATAGTAGGGCTAAAAAATGTTTGTTACGTCATTTTGCAAACCAGAGACAAATATGATGAAATACAATATGGGCATTTTGTATTTCATCACGTCTTTGCTTTACAGTACAAATTACCAATGCTGATTAAGTCTCATATTTAGGTATTTACCCCTCCTCTAATCCCCAATCCCTGTCCTGTGGACAACCAGAGGTCTAACCACATATTTGAAAGAAGAGGCTGGACTCCAAGACAGAGCTGGAAAACAGATATGGTTTGTGGAGTTAATTATATGTTTTGAGAAGCAAATAAACCAAGGCTGGGGAGCAGTAGTGCTCTCAGGATAAGATCCCTACCTTTATTTTGTGTGTGATTTTGCAACATTCTCCATCCTTTAGTCACACGGGTCTTTCAGTAACACAAGATACAAGCTCCTCCTATTCTCGAAGTTTCACACTTGTCCTTCCCTCTTCCTTATAGCTCTTCACCCTTCCAATTTAACTCCAACTCAGTCCTTAAGATCTCAGTTAAATATTTTTTCCGCAAGAAAGCCTTCCCTGTCTCTCCCACTCCCTTCCCCTGCTAGATGACCCCATTATATATCATAGCACCCTCTACTCGTCCTCTATAGCACATAGTACAATAGTAATTAATATTTAGTTTGTGATTCTCTATTTACTGTCTATCTTCCTTGCTATACTTATAAGCAACTTGAAGTCAAGAGCTGTGTCTGTTTTGGCCATCACTGTATCCCCAACACCTAGCACATTGTTAGTACAGAGTAGGTGCTCGATAAATATCTGTTAAATGAAGGAATTAATGAAATACAGATAAGCACTAGCTTTTGGAGTGACATGAAATTGACTCTGCCCTTACTAGCTCTGTACCTTTGGATAAATTTCTTACCATTTCTGAGTCCATTTCTTCCTCTATAAATGAAGGTAATTGTTCCTATTTTATAGGGTTATTGTGAGGATTGAATAATCCAATAAAATGCTTAGCATAGTGTGTAGCACATAACAAACCCAGATTCAATATTAACTATTATTATTGTTTAAAGAATGAACAAAAAGAGGAGCATATAAGGTAGGGAAGGTACATTTCATGCTCTCGACAAAGGCACAAATAGAGCTCTTTTATGCAAACAAATAGTTACAAATCTGAATAAAACAAACATTTTAAGTATACTATAGGAATGCATTATCTAAAAGAACCCTGAAACACATTTGTTTATAAAGCCAAGGTTCTTTTTGGATATGAAGTGACCATGCATTTATATGGCTTGCAAGCTCTGGCGTACAGTGTCAGGCTCTTTTAAAACAAAGCACATCAGGAATCCATTACTTCAGGGCAGCAGGGTTCCAAACCTGGCTTCAAAACCTATAGGACCTCAGTTCAGCTGTGCTGACTTTAGCCCAGGACATGTAGATAAAACAACAGGCTTTTGCCTTTAAGACAACTGCCCTTCCCTCCCAGTAGGAAACTCCATGCCTTAATGAGAAAATAACCTTTCTCTCTAGTGTTCATCAGCATCCCAGGGTCACCTCCCTCCTCCTTTCTGGTGCATTCTACATACCCCAATACACCCCCTTTAACTTTGTTTTTTTGTCCTCTTAGATTTTCCTACTTTGGATACATCATTTAACTTCTCCAAGCCTCAATTTTTTCACCTGTAAAAATGGAACTAAAAAAGTGCTTCCTTGGGCCGGCCGAGTGGCGCGATGGTTAAGAACTGGCTTGGGA